GTCGTTCCCCCCCCCCCCCGGCTCTTTCCCCCTTCCCAGCCTGTCAGAGAGATAGCTGGATTAGTTCGTTGGTTTTCTGTTTGCCTGCTTGCTTGGTGTGGGGGTGTGTGGGCGTATTTGTGTGTGAGGAAATTACTGGAGCTGAAAGCGACACGGAAGAGCTGAGTTCTGCACTTCGCTCTGAACTCGGCAAGGCCCACAGTCATTTTGGTCTCTTGTGGGACCTAGCTGCATTGCCTCGGCGCAGCTCTGGTGAAAGGTCTGTCTCCTGCACTCTTGGGTCATATCTTATGTGGCGGTGGAGGGAAGTTGTGGTTGTGGGGGAGAGAACATCAGAGCGGCCACACTGGGTCAGACCAACGGCCCATCCAGCCCAGTGTCCTGCCTGCCCACAGTGGTCAATACCAGATGCCCCAGAGGAAGGGATCCCAATAGATAATCCTCATGTGATTCCCTCTCCTGTCACCCCCCTCCAGAGAAACAGAGGCTAGGGGCACCATTCCTACCCATCCCGGCTAATAGCCACTGATGGACCTAACCTCCATGAATCTATCTAGCTCTTTTTTTGAACCCCGTTAAAGTCCTAGCCTTCAGCACATCCTCTGGCAAGGAGTTCCACAGGTTGACTGTGCGCTGAGTGAAGAAAAACTTCCTTTTGTTTGTTTTAAACCTGCTGCTTATTCATTTCATTTGGTGACCCCTAATGAGGCGGGAAGGGCAATCCCATGGGGAACTTTGAGCATCGGGGACAGAGACCTTGAATGTAACGGGGTGCCACTGCAGTGGAGCCGTGAGGTGGTGAGATCAGTGACCTGAGTAGCTAAGCTGGGTTCTGTGTGTTGGAGCTTTCCCCGGGCTTGTAGCTTCATTTTGAGCAATGAATTGCAGTGATCAACCCTAGAAATCATGCGTCATTGTGGCCAAGAATGTGTTTGGGTGGGGCACAAAGATGGGTCTGTCTGCAGGAGGGCTGGTTGGACCTCTGTTGGCTTAGCTGTCTGAGGAGTCTTCAGACCACAACGTCTTCCCACCAACATGGCTTCAGTCTTGCCGGCTCCCGCTTCGTCAGCTGCTCTTCATCCGGGAGCTGATTTTGAACCATTGACATAGGTGGGCGGTGGGACGGCAAGCCCTCCAGGAATGTAACTTGTATTTCGTTTCCATCAAGGTAGCCTCCCTAGTAGCCATCACCTCCACCTACGGCATCAAACCTTAGGGCCTGGCCCGCTGAGGAACACTACTGCCTATTCCACGGCGCTGGGTGGTCCTGGGAACGGGTCTTGAGCTGAATCCCAAAACTTAGCCTGGCTTTTCCTTGAATCCAGAAAACTGCGCCCACTGCTTTGTCCAAAGCCCAGAGAACAGCTGGTCTGGAGTCCTCCAGCTCTGCATCCAGGAGTCCCCCAGCCAGTGCTCTATTTCTTCTTTACCATCTGACAGGAAGCAGTACCCAAGCCTACGGTTTCAGGATGGGGAAGCTAGTACATCCGTGAGGCCTACAAGTCCAAGAGTCTCTTCGGCAGCCAGCACCAAAACCGACTGTCTGAGAGTGGTAGCAACCTCTGGTGGGGATGTGGGTGGTTAACCAGCAAGCATCACCCTTGGGTTGAGGGTAGGGTCTCTTGTGGGAATGAGTCTCGTGCCCTTATTGGTGATGCTTACCGTTAACCAGCAGGGGCTGGAGCTGCCCCCACCTGCCAGGGTCTGCTGCAGGCGGGAAGTGCTGCCGCCCGGCCGGAGTGGTCAGGGGGCTGCTCCAGCCCAGCCGGGATGGAGCGTCCCCCCTGCATTTAGTCATTGATCTGGTTAACTGGGGTTTTGCATCCCTAGCCTCTGGTGCGCCATGTTAAGCAGCAGCAGGTGCTGCCTTTGGTAGGTGGGTGCTCTACATTGGGACCTCCAGGAGTAGAGAGGGATTGTATACCCTGAGGTTGGATTGGAACCCGCCCTGAAGGCATCACGCTATAACAATCCCAGGAACTAAGGGGTCGTGGTGCTAGCAGAAGAGGGAAACACATTCTGAGTTACTGCAAGTTTCCGTTCTCTGCGTTCTGAAGTCGACAGATCCGACCCCCCTTGCTCGGAGGATGTCTCTGGCCGGTTTGGCTCAGTGGCAGTCCACGAAGGTGTGCTGTGCTGTTGGAACTCGGTCGGGGGCTCGTGTGCTAGGAGATGTCAGTTCACACAAGGTATTCCCCAGTGCTTTGGAAGCAGGCTCAGCTTGTGGACACGCCATCTGTGGCTCACCTGGAGCTGCGACTAACAGCTGTGGTTCTGCCCCGTGAGTACATCCAGTTGGGAGCCCACTGGCTAATGGATCTGTGTCCTTGCAACTCGGAGAGAGGACATTTTTGATAAGTCGCAATAAATTCTGTTCTGGGATTGTGATTGTGTTGTATCAGGATCTCCCTTGCCGCAAGCCGAGCGTGCTTCTAAATCCAGCAAGTCACCTTGGGGAATCCTGCTGCCAGCTCAGCTTGGAGTGCCTCTCGTCTGCTCTGGGTCTCACCCCCTTTCCTGAGTGCTAGTGCATCCTTTGTCTTTCTAGGGGGAGAGCGAGGCTCACCCTCCACGCAGCAGGGCTCCCCCCCCCCCTTTCTTCAGTGACTGCAGCTTGAGGCTGGGGAGAAAGGAACAGATGGTCTCTTTGGAGACCGAAAGTAGCACCACTCCATGCACCAAGCCAGCCGTTCCCTCCACCTCCCTTGGGAAGGAGCCTGTCCCCTCCACAGCAGGTCTGATCAGGTCTCCCATATGGCAGATTGTGGTGTGAGGGGCCTGGCCTCATTCCTGTAGAGGCCATGCCAGGAATGAAACCTTCCTTGTCTCGGCCCTCAGTGCCAGCTCCTCGCTTCCGTTCCCTGCTCTGTGGCAGGGGCAGTGTGGCACAGCCTCACCCTCGGGCCTGAATGCTCCCGCCACAGATGCAGCAGGAGGTGTAGGGCCAACCCACGATCACAGCTTCGTGCTGTTCTTTGGGTGGAATCTCTGCCAGTTGCAGGTGTCGGATAAGCGCACGTCACGCAGTCTCCCCCCAAAACCCAGCAAGTACACTCTGTCATTAGCAGGAGTGAGAGAAATCCCCTTCTCGTGCCCCTGTTCTCAAAGTGGGCATGGCTAACCGCAGAGCAAGCCCCCCCCCAATACACATCCAGGGTTTTCCATCTTCTCGGAAGCTGTGGCAGGATTCCTGCCTCTGTGCTCAGCAACGGTGGGATCCCCAGTGAGTGCACTCCCCCCTCCGCCCCAGCAAGCAGAGGGGTCTGTCCCTTGTGACTTCTTGTGTGTCTGCTTCCAGGTGTCGGTGGACCTCAGCAGCAGCTCCATTCGGGTGGCTGTGCTGGAGGGGAGCTGCCAGCGTGTCCTCATGGAAGGGAGACTCACCCACAAGATCAACACGGAGAGTTCCTTGTGGAGCCTGGAGCCAGGGAAATGCATCTTGGTAAGAGCTGCCTCCTCTGCTGCCCCCTTCTCGCCGTCCTTGCGGGGGGCAGCGGCACGGTGGCTTTTGGGTCTTGGCCCTTTGACCAAGAAGCCGCAAGCTGCAAAGTCAGAGCATTAGAAGCTTGTGCCAAATCCCTGCCAGCCAAGTGGGAAACTGATCTCCTGCATCCCTCTGCCCGTGAGTCACGTTCCCAGCGCCCCAGCAGGCCCTCAGTGGCTGCATGGCTCTTCCCTCAGCAAGGTCAGGCTCCGCTCTCGCCCCGAGCTCTGCTCCGCTTGTTGCTCCCTTGCTGTGCTGGGCGGGGCTCCCTCTCCCTTTCCCACCCTGGAGCGGAGGGACGTGCGGCACAGCGCCTTGCTGCTGGGGCACCTCACCAAATCCATGTGTCGGGAGTAGGGGCAAGGGATTCTGGGGGGCAGAGATTGAGTTGTAGGCGTGTGAGGGCTCCGACTCGGGGTGCAGGCTCTGGGGTGGGGCTGGGGATTGGGTTGTGTGCTTTGGGTCCCCAGTGGGGTCAGGGCTGGGCAGGGGGTTGGGGCTTGCATTTACTTGGGTGGCTCCCTCCGGGGATGGTGAGGAGGGGCCCCTTTCCCACGGTCACAGCAGTTTGGGGTGGGGGCTAGCTGGGAGGGGTCTTGCTACATTTGGCGCCAGCTCTGGCACTGCTGCAGTTCTGCCTCCCCTCCCCATCCCCCCCGCATCACAGGCACCTTGCTGGGGGTCTCGACTTCCCCCCAACTCCAGCTCGCCCCCCTGCCTCTGATACAGCCAGGTAGTGAGTCGCCTCCCCGGTAGGCCTAAGCTTGTTGAGTAATCGACCACTCGAGTCGTAGCTTCCATCCCTAGTGGGAATCGCCAAAGATGTTGCACAAAGGGACAAAGTGCCTTCCTGGAGTCTCCACGTAGCTTCTTGCAGTCTGGGGGAGGGATGTCGGAGCTGCACCTTGCCGCCAGGTCTTGGGTCAGCATCAGGGACAACCGCCCCCAAGGAGATAATGGAAAATGGTGAGCAGCCAGCTGGAGGGACAGTGCTGCTCCTATTCCCCTCTGAGGCGGCGATGGGCAGCCGTACAAACCCTACCTAGGTAGCAGAGGGACACTGACAGTCTGACCAAAGACCCGGATAACTCTTGGGTAGGTCAAACCAGCATGTCCTCTGAGAGGACCGAGTCTTCCAGCCACGCGGCTTTGGAGAAGGCTGAAATAGAGAACAGCGGCCTCATGGACTTGATAAACTTCAAAAACAACCACTGGGCTGGTAGCACTTAGACTAACAAGACACGTCGATGGGAGTGTGAGCTTTCGTGGGCACCGCCCACTTCTTCAGATGCCCACGATGCCATCTCCATGTCTCGTTAGTCTGAAAAGTGCTACCAGCCCATTGGTTGTTTACGTTTATCCTGCACAGACTAACATGGCTACCCCTGAAGCTTCCTCATGTGCTTGGATTGTCAAAGAGGTTTTAAGAAGTCCCTTCTAGATGACTAAGGAAAACAGGCAACAAAGGCTTTCCGTAGGCACTAACCCTCGCGCTGCTGCTGTGCAGATTGTGCAAAAGTTTGTCGTGGGAGTTCCCAGGTCAGCAAGAGGACGCGTGTTTGTTAAATAAGCCTGGCTTGGAGGAGGAAGGGGACCGCGAGGTGAAGTAAGATCAAGGACCTTCTCCAGATTCCGTTGGAATTGAAGGGAGCCAGGCCCTACCTTAGTGGAAAGGCTGGAGGGTTGGGAGACTCTCCAGCTGGCTTCTAGCACATTGATGGTGGGGGTGTGCGGTGCTGGGCAACGAGGCGGAAATGGAATCGCACGTGAAGGTAACGAGTATAGTGAGTAACTCTCAGGCAGGACTGTCTCCTTTGCCATGCACGGGATAGTCATGAGTGTTTGCTGGTGCCTCGCTCAGTGGGTGTTTGCCGTTCAGTTGTTTGTTAATGAAATGCTGTAGCCCAGCTCCCGGCAGCCTGTCCGAGCACACAGGCCCGTCGGCCTCTCGCTGGCACGTTTCAAGCATGGCGGGGGCGAATTCCCGCCAGCGCTCTGAAGTTTGCTTTCCCGCAGACACTGCTGCTGGCCAGTTCGACTCTGCCCCAGGAAGCCAGGGCAGCCGAAGCAGGCTTGTACCGTGTCGAGTGACTTCGGGGGGGATCTTGGCACATGGGCCACAATAGTCCAGCCTTTCCCTTCGCGCTGCTGTGAAGGAGTGTCGTGGGGAAGGGCTCAGG